AGAATGTTGGAGAGGGCGCTGCAATCCTGACGCGTAGTACCAACCGAAACTTCTTCTGGGGAAGGGTGGCAAAGAAAATTAGCATCAGAGCGAAGGTTTAGCGACTTCTCCCTGCTCATTGTCCAATTTCTTGGCTAGTCTCTCAGATAACCAAAGACAGCGGGGTTCTTTGCGAGTATTCGCCTAAATCTGGCTGATTCATGACACGCTTTCACACTAGGTATTCCATGGCTCCCTCTTCACACTTCTAATTTCGGATTTCTATATCCACAGAAGATAACCCACTTTTACGAACCCTATTAAAAAGTGCCTTTTCCTGCCTATTTTGCTGTTTTATTTTGCCTTTTATATACATATTAGAGACAGTTTTATCATAATTATACATAAAACTATTTCAAACCATGGCGAAATGGTTAATCACGCGAAAATCAGTGTTAACTTTTACCCACACCAAAGCGATAAGCAACTGCAAATAAAATTTTCTAGAAAAACAACCGTTATCTGTTTAATTACATTACTATTAATTACAAAATATTTAGATAAGAATCGAATCAAATATTTATATCCAATTCACGAAATTATTAGTCATGCGCCTACGCTTATTAGTGTTCAATACGAGAGGATAGGTGCGCATGTTTGTATGTATATATTTACCTATATGTATGTACAAATATAAATTTACATGCATATATGTACCGCTCAATTAAATTAGCCTAAGTCGGTATAGGCCCATTCCCTTTAAAGAAAAAATTCATTAGGTTCCCAAACAATATTTTTAACGTTTAACTAGCCACAGGTGTAGTTCAAGATGCCCTTTTACTAGAAGCTTAATAAGAATAAAAAAAAAATATTATTTTTTAATTCACAGTCAAACCTTCTAACAAAAGCATAATTATGCTACCTTTATTTTATGGCACAGATATGTATGTGTGATTTGGTAGAAGTTATACTATATTAAATAGTTATTAACTATTTAACATTCTTAGTACGCAAATAATATATTATATCTAAATGAATTAAAAATATCTTTTTTAAAGATATCATCGTATTTAATTTGGCATTATGTGTTCGACACAAGCTTATTAAAAACAGCGTTAGACATTTTGAAAACAATATATGTATGTATGTATGTTTATTCTCTATGCTTTGCGCTGCAAGGGCGGTTCAGTAGGTAAGAAAACAACCTCCCAACAGGGCGTATGAGTAATATTTACATACAGTGACTCGATTTGATTTGTTGATTTGTTGATTTTCTTCATATATTCGTGATGTTTTTCGAGCTATTTTTGTTTTGTTATTTTTATATAAAAATATCGTCTAAGCTTTAACCAAAGCCGTGTAAATCACAGTTTCAAGCTTTATACAAAATTTAGGAAATTTCAACAAATTTTCATCAAAATTTAAAATTTTTTTATAATGAATTTTTAGACAATTTTTGGGTATGCAGTTTTATAGCCCCTTATAATTTTAGTCTAATGAAATGCAAGTTTTAATAGGCTAAAAAGTCGCGTTGATTTTTGAGAATTTTAGAATTTTTTCTCGGCGAGGGATTTTTGCACTTTTTTCATATAAGTATGAATTATGAAATAAAATGCGGGAGACCGTCAGCAGCAAAATTTCAAAATATCAACGCAAGTTTTTGTAAATTGTGCTTGTTATATTAAAAAACCCAAAAAAGTAGCCTTAAAAAAAATTCTCAAAAATCAACGCCATTTTTTAGCCGTTTGAGACTTGCACTTCATTAGAGTAAAACTACAACTGCTATAAAACTGCATACCCAAAAATTTGCTAAAAAATCAGAATAAAAAAGTTGAAATTTTAATGAAAATATTTTTATATAAAAGTAACAAAAAAATTAGCTGGAAAAATATTACGGATACTAAAAAAAAACCCACATGGTCATTTGTTTGAGTCACTGTATGTACAAAAAAACACTTTCCGCCCAGTTTATTGAACTAATTGATTTGACTCACAATTTTTAAAGGATTCCATAAACAAAATATTTATCACGTGTGCGAGAACTTTTTTCTCTGTATTCCTTTGGAGATATATTTTTTCAAAATTTAGGTTTTCTGACGATTTCCCAGAAAATTATACTACCTGTATTTATGATATAAATGGCTTCGTGCCTCAAAAGCCTTTTTGCCTTTCTGTAATGTGAAACTAGGCTTAGAGAAGTTCCGTAACGATATCAATTGGATCTAGCAATTCCTTAAAATTTTATTAGCTCACTCGGGTACAAATCATTCGGTTGATGATGGTCTTATTTTTTCATACTCTACAAGGTTTTGTTAAAATGGTATTTGACAGTATCCGAAAAGTTAACAAAACGCATCACTAGAGCAATGAACGAACGAGTAACAAACTCATTGATTTTTCTTAAAATTTCGTACCTTTTACTTCAATTTTGTCTGAATAAATGGGAAATTTTAAGAAAAAGCAATTGCTTATTTTTATTAATACGACCCATTACTGATTTTTTTTTTGTTATTGTTTTATTTATTTATTTAGTCTAGAAACAATATTTCTTACAGACTAGTTGATGAATGGTTTTGATTGCCTATTGAAATTTTTGAAAAATAAATTCATCGTAATTGGCAAAAAAATATGTAGTTTCTTTTTTGGGGCGGCCGGTAGAAACATTGTATCAACACAATGGTATAGATATTTTGCCAGGCGTTGACACAGCAGTGAAATTGCATCAGTTCTTTGTTCAAATACGCTCAGGAATGTAGCCAAACACGTAAATTTGTTCCAAAAATTATAATTGCGTAAAATTTGTAATTTTATCGTAAGTTGAACATTATCATTTGGCTGCAAATCTAGTTATTATTCTAGTGTTTTACCAGAATTTGCGCTTTGGCTTTGGAAAAACAAATTAAATTAAAAAAAGAAGAAATAAATAAAATATGTTAAAGGAAATAAAAAAATATGTATATTTAAAAAAAAATATAAGTACAAAGCAAAAATACAAAACATTTAAAAATTAAAAGAATATTGAATTAAGAATGAAAAAAATACATAAAGAAAGTTTCTAAAATTTAAAAGAAATTTGAATTAAAAAAGTTTTAAAAGTTAAATTTTGGTAACTTCTACACAAGATATGTACACTGCCTTCAAAAAGTATTGGCACCGCAAATTTTTCACAATAAATTTTTTTTCCAATATTTTTCCGCCATATTTTTATAAAAATATGGTTAATTCTAAAACAAAAACATAAAAATACAATTCGTAAACTTTGTGCAAAACTTACTAAAGTACAAGTTTTTAGTAGCTAGGAATTACTGTTGATTTTTGGCAATTTTTTCACGCTGTTTCTTCCATACAAAAAAATTTTTTCGAAAATACTTTATTTACATATATAGATAGAATGCAAAACACCTTCCACAAAAAAATATCTCTTGCGTTTTTTTACTAGAATTGATTGGGCTGCAAAACTGCATACTCGAAAATATTCTAAAAATCGAATTAAAAGTTTAAAATTTGCATGAAAATTCGCTGAGTTTTTGCGAGTTTTGCACAAAGTTTAGGAATTATATTATTATATTTTTTGTTGCAGAATTACCCACATTTTTATAAAAAATTGGCGGAAAAATATTACAAAAAAATTTATGCACATATTGTCAAAAATTTGCTGTGCCAATACTTTTTGCCAGCAGTGTAAATATATTACGTTATTTTTATACCTTTCATGGGCATGAAATGGTATTATAACTTTGGTCCGATGTTTGTAAGTACCAGAATAAGAAGAGATAGACCCATTAAAATGTATACTTAAATGCTCAGAACGTCGAGCTGAGTCGATTTAGCCATGTCCGTCTGTCTGTCTGTCTGTCTGTCTGTCTGTCTGTCTGTCTGTCTGTCTGTCTGTCCGTCTGTCCGTCTGTTTGTATGCAATCTAGTCTCTCAGTTTTCGAGATATCCGGATGAAATTTGGTAGGTGGGTGTATTTTTATAATGTATTAATCATTTGTCGGAACCGAAAGAATCGGACCACTATAACATATAGCTATCATACAACCGATAGTTCAGATATGAGATTTTTCGTTATAACTGCTCCATTTATGTAGCTAGGAACATGAAATTTTGCAGTGCTTCCACCCATTATCAACAGAAAACTTGGAGTGAAAATTACCAAGATCGGGTCACTATAACCTATAGCTCCCATACAACTGATTGTTCAGATATACTATTTTTCGTTATAACTCCTCCATTTAAGTAGCTAGAAACATGAAATTTTGCACTGTTGTCTCTCATTTTCAAACAAATACTTGTGAAAATGGCGAAGATCGGGTCGCTATAACCTATAGCCTCCATACAACTGATTGTTCAGATATGAGATTCTTTGTTATAACTTCTCCATATATGCAGCTAGAAACATGAAATTTCGCACTATTTTCACTCATTATCAACAGAAAGTGTACAGTAAAATTAACAAAGATCGGGTCACTATAACCTATTTATTGCCACCATACAACTGATGGTTCAGATATGGGGTTTTACTGTAAAACTCCTTTATTTGGACAACTAAAACCGATAAATTTCGTAAACTATTTTATAAATAATAATACAAAATCTACTGAGAAAATCGTAAAAATCTATGCTGTATAAGCTTTATCTCCTATAGCACTGATTGTTCAGATACCAGTTTTTGCGATATATCTCCTTTATGTAGGAAGCTAAGCCTATTAAATTGTGTTTCCGGTCACACAGCAGTGGAAATCACTTAGATTGGTGCTATATAAGGTATATCTTCCATACCTCTGATTGTTTGGATATGATTTTTTATATATGTGTCTCCTCTATCCATGTATGCTGCGAATATATAAATTTTTTCAAATGCAGTAATCTGTTAAAGTAAAATTTTCAGATGTTCATGAAAGGTATGAAGTCTTCGGCATAGCCGAGGACAGCGCTGCTCTTACTTGTTTTTACTAATATCTTTTTTAATATTTTCAATTCTCTTTTCCGAAGAAATCGTATGAATACAAAAAACTTACCCTGGCTATGTGAATGGTGAAATTTGATAAAAGTTCTTGACAAAGTTTTGTTTTTTTCCGAAACACTTCAACACTTTTACGGTTTCAATACTAACTGCCGCAAAAAGCAGACTCAAATGGCATTTTGTGACAAAATACAGACGCACACGACACCACAAAATATTTTTTTATTAGCTTTAATTGCGAAATACCAATCAGAAGAAATAGAAATTGGTTGATCGAACACTTTTCAACACTTGCACACCAGGGATTTCCAGGGAAGTGTTTTTTTAACACTTTGATTATTTTATTAGCGCGCAGTTATGGCCAATTTAACACCTAAAATTATTCGGAAAAATACCGTTAGCGTAATTAATTAAAAAATGGCATGCACATCACTTTGCAACAACTACATAAAAACGAAAAACAAAAGCAACACACGCGCCATATTGCTACTGCCACATGCAACATGCAGCAGAGACCAGACGTTCGAGAATTCGTGCTGGAAGCAAAGCACAAACACACACACGCAAACGTATGCAATTTCGGCACGTAACAATGTGTGCACCTGTGTGCGCCATTTTTTGTTTTTGACGGCACCTAAAATTCACGATGACTGCTCACTTTTTGTTTGAACCGACGCATGTGTATGCACCCCGGACGCAAAGGATGAATTTAATAAAAAAAAAATTGCTTGCGCTTTCGTTCCATGTCACAGCTGAGACGACGTTTGACTAACCTTCAAGATGCGACGTTGCGACAAATTTGCCAAGCTTTACATTTGTAGTTAACGTAACGAGAAAAAAGCGTTTATGTAGGTGATGCCCTTAAGTGGCGTGACGAGGCATTCACCCACTGGCGCTAAATACTCCAAGCAGCTCAAACGCTCGCAAAAGGACTGCACGGCTAAGCTGACTCGCTGGCCTGTCTGTCATTCACAATTGACGACTTGCTTTTCAATGTCCTCGCAACTTCAGAGTGTTGCTTTTTACGCTGCGCAATTTGCTTGACGGTCTATAATTAAAAAATCAACAATGGCAATGACAGCGTAGACGTAGTCAATTCTAGTATGTAAACATGTACATAAGTAGATGCTAATAAAATAAAGTATTTATGGCTTCCTCATGCAAATCCTCCCAACTTTTAGTTGCAAGGCGCGATAGTTGTTTCACACATATTAATCGGTCACATGCACAAACATACATAAGTATACACATACATACATATTAAAATATGTATCCTTTTATTACATCCCAAAGCTCACCAAGTGTATATTTCCGTTACTAACTAGTTGGATGTCCGTACGCGTTGCCTAATTGCGTTAAACTATTTCTAGTTTATGGATGAGTCTGCTGTCTGTGGATGCATCCAGACATTGTCACCGCCATTATCTATCATCGCGTGTTTGGCATTTGAAACGCTGATAAAGGCTTTAGTTGTTTTAATTGTATCTATTTTCCTTAATACATTTGCATATCTACACATAAACACCCGTATGTATATATGTACTACCCTGCAGAAAAAATTATCAATTTATAAAAAATAACCCATTTGTAGTTAGCTTTTTAAAGTGATTTCTATAAAAGACATATAACTTGTAGTTTGCTACAAAAAGCTAACTTGAAACTAGTTGAAAAGTAACGTAAATATCTATCCCCATAAAAATTTTACTTCAAATACACTTTCTTTCTGCACTTCACAAATACTTTTTCGAATTGAGGACAAATAAAAGGCACATTGAAATTTTATGTTATCATTTTTAAGTTATTTCTGACGAAGGTCGAATACGGGACTACCTACAGCACAATATCTAAACAAATATGAAATGTCATAAAATAAAGTAAATAAATAGAAAAGGTAAAAAAAACAAAAACAAACAATTATTTTGCTTTTCCTATTGATATTTTATGTCCAAAATTTATTAGTTACAAGTTAGTTGATATCTAATGCGGTGGTAACTACCCTTGACTATTTCGCGGTCATCGCCATAGAATTACAGTTAGCTATCCTCAAAGAAAAATGCAGTTAATAGTGACCTTTAGTTCCTTCCTAATCAACTCCAAGTTAACTTATAGTTAGATACATTTCCCGCAGGGTAGGTATGAATGTGAATAAATGGTACGATTTCATTAGTGAATATTTTTATGCACATTTCGTTATTTTATCATTGCCATTTCCTTTGTTACTTCTGTTTCTATGCATTAAAATTTCATATATCTATCTCGGCAGACAGTTCGAAAACGTCGTATCTCAAGATATTTTCTGTATTTGGAACTTATCTTGGACTCCAAACTCCTGCGGAGGACTGATGTTTATGCTACCACCTCTAACAATTTGTTTCCACAGAAAGCGAAGCCGTTCCGAGCTGAGTGAAGCTTTCAAATTGCTGTAGCTATATGAAAGTGTTCATACAGCAAGCTTCTTCAAAAGCCTTTTGTAGCTGAAAACAGTGTGAACACCAGTAGATTCGCCTTGTTCCATCTTGCTTCGCTCGGCGCCGCTCGACTTTCTGTATGAGCGCATCCTAAGGCTACGAGAGCGCTGATGGTGTATAAACGTCTAGCAGGCAAATCCTGGGAATGCACTCCAAGAACTCCAAAATGGATGTACATACATCAAAATAGTACGACCAATATTAGCCTATGAGGCAGTGGCTTCGAGTGGGGTGCGACGACTACTCTGGTAACGGTGAGTCGGACCATCATAAAGATTCAACGTCTGCATCTGCAAAGCGGAAGTCTGTGCCATCAGTGTCAATGTAGGCATCAACTTTCGCAGTGATTATTGAAGTGAGAGAATCCAAATTTTAAGTTAAAGTAAGGCTCTCTCATTTCTCGAGGTCAAATCCTCAGTGGTCCTAGAGTGTGTGTAGAAGCTGAATATAATGCTATCCTATTGTTATGGGTTCTAGGGAGATGAAAAAAATGAGGAAGCCGACCATTTAAATAGAATGGCTACCTTTCAGTAGGTCCCAACACGAGATAGGAAGTGCCCAGAAAGGAAAACACCAAACGGGTTCTTGTTAAGCTAAAATCTTACTAGGAAGGTACAATCCAGAAAAATTTAGGCTACTAATGGAACTACCTAAAGATAAACTAGGAAAATTTACAAGCATTTTGAAGGCCATTGTAAGCTAGAAGCCATTTGCATAAGCTAGGTACTATACAATAGCGTTATTTTCATATAAAAACCTGCTTACCCCCGGTTGCAGGTTGTGGCTCCTTCTATATTTATGTTATGGTCAATCCAAATGAGGTTAAAACGGTTATATTTAGCCATCTCCTGCAGAGAACGGCGACAGTCCAATCGTGTCTGAGCTTATAGCTCTAATTGTAACTTGGCCGTCTCTGAAAATTAAAGCATCTATTTCATTGGTATCGGCTCGCAGTTTATTAACAGGCTCCATTAATTTCTGCAACTTCAGCATGGAAGACATTACACTAGTTCGTTAAACAAGATGTGCAACACACGATAGGGGTTTGCGAGAAAAACCACCACATTACCGTTGAGCTTCGAACCATCAGTGAAAATTTTAATATTACCAGGTGCAATTGCTTTCCACCCATTGCGCCATGGTTTGATGCTCCGTAGATTTCTAACCAGAACCAGAGTTTGAGCACAGGGTTGCGCCCATCAGAGAAGATTTTTGAGAATAATTTTTGTGTGACGTCACACTGGGCAGTTGAGAGAGAAATGTCAAAACGCGAGCAAGAAACCAAAAAGAAATTTTGCAAGAAAAAACGTAAGCGAGTAGCACAAGTTTGACGTCATTCAAACAGCGATTCTGTCAACTTCACTGAGAGCTGAATAGCGGTACGAGATGGGCGCCACCTTTGATCTCTACATCGCACAGTGGTTCAAAACTGGATCAATTCACAATTCAAGGACCCTTCATTTCATCACTCAATATGATACATTTTTTTTTAAATGAAAGCTAATAAGATTTGCAAGTGACCAGTTGAGCCCGATTTTTGAATTTTTGTTTGCTTGTATTCATTTTTTTAGTGCAAAAAGCAGAAAGGTAGCGATTTTGAAGAAAATCAATTCTCCTTTTCCAGTTAATAAATGTTAAAGGTTTCAACTAAACGAAAAAAATTTAATGTTTTAAGAAATGTTCCCCAACATTAAATTTTTTTTTTGGTTTATCGAAAAGTTATAAATATAGATCATTAAATTTTAGTGTAATAAAGTAACAGTTACAAGTGGCCAAGTGTTCGCGTTGATTTTTAATAACGCTCGAGATGTTAACGAAAAAAACTATTAAAAATCAACGCGACCTCTTAGCCACTTGCAACTTGTGCTTTACTATGCTAAAAAATTGCATACCCAAAACTTTTCAAAAAACTCAATTTTTTATTTTTTTTTTGTCAACATTTCTTTATGACACTGCGCTATATTGTCATGCCAGAATGCTTGGAATGTACAACCATACAAGATTTTCATATGCACATTGCAATTCACATCATATAGTGCAAAAGCTACAAAGTATTTTGAATTATTACGAGATTAACTAAATAAACTAATCGTCAGAATATCTACATAAAAAAAATGTATTTACATAATATTAAATCAACATCATCATCGAAAATAAAATTGCAAATAGTTTGTTCAAGCTCATTTTTTTTTAAGATAGTACATTTAAAAAGAATGTATTAACAAAAGTTGTTATTTTAACAAATAAGAATAAATATTTTACTTTCAACGCAATCCCACAAATTTGTAAGGTACGTTGGAAAAGAATAGCACAATGGACAGAATAATAATAGCGCAGACGCCGACTATGATAAGTGCTTTGATAAGAACGGGAAGTAAAATTTTGTTAAATGCCTTAATTGGATTGGTTAATGGATTAAAAGAGGTATCAGGTCGTCTGTGAAAAGAAGGGAAAATGTAAAGTGAAATCAGCTTACAAAAGTAATAAATATAGAGATAAGGTAATACTACTACTTACGATGGATTGGCTAATGCATTCGGTGGATTGCGACCCACACCAACAGGACTCGCTGCCGCTTCCGCTTCGGTAAGTAACTCTAGTTCCACCTCGATTTTTCCCTGTAAAAATGAGTAAATTATCTAAAATTCAATTCTACAATTAATTAAATCATTTTTCAACTTAACAGTTTGCGTACGCAATTGCTCCTTGAGCCGCTTATCCTTAGACAGCTGCTCGACTTGTCCGTGCAGCGGAAACCAGCCTTTTACGCGCTTTTTCGCAAACAAATTCACCGATGGACGACGCCGATGTGCCACGCCTTGTAATCGTGCCAGTGTTTCGGGTAGCTTAATGCCGGCAAACTCATTGGTCAACGTACAGAAACGCCGATTCGTGCAAGGCTCTGGAAAGTTTGATAGATTCAACTCGAGCATGCCCAGAAAATCATCTTTTGTGACCAAATCATTGTCCCAGACTTGAAGATATAATACGGCAGGATGCTTTACTTCGTATTCGTTAAGTACGCCACTTTTTACCTTGATGACCATCTGTTGGAGAGTGGTAAAAATAGGAAAAATAAAGTAATGAAAACGATATGGTGGGATTTTTTATTGCGTGTATAAATAAATAAGTATGTATTAAGATGCTTAAGGAAAAAATAAAACACTTATTTCATATGTATGTTTTAATATTTCGAAAGATCATTTAAAACAGTTTTTAGGCGCGCTTATACGCGATATTGGGGTTCCTGGATTCAAAGCTGAACGCATCAATCAGCTGGGTAGACTCTCCGCATATACTACATAGGGGTGTTTCCATAAAAATGTAAACCGAAAATGCAAGTAAATGAGTTCAAATGGCTTTATAACTCTAAATTTCGTACTCAGATGGCGAAAAAAGGATATAAAAACGCGAAACGGTAAAGAGAATAACTAAAAAAATTAAATAAAATTTGGTGTCACACTTTCAATTGGCTTAAACTTTTTTTTAGGGGTTCTATACACGAAATAAGCTAACACGTGTTCGAGGATTTTTTATTTTTTTAACTTTTCTTCGGAGATATGATCTGTCAAACTTTGGATTTTTTCGTGATTCTGACTAATCATGTACTTCATCAAATCGTTATATCTCGGGTTCTGCTCATCGTAAAAACTTCATCTTAACGTCGTTTTAAAGCTAAAGAAACGGGCTTAACATTTTATATATAATATGGTCATGATTGTCCTAAAGCTAAACTAGCTACAGTTTTTGATAAGGTCAAATATCTGGAGATAACGCTAGATAAGGGACCTAACTGGAACTCCGATCTTGAGACAATGGTCGCTAAAGCCACATCGGCCTGCGTAAGACTTTTTTGTGGTAATGGTGTTTGAGCTCAAGGCTGATTGGCTGGCTTTACCGTGTGATCGTCCGTCGGATTGTGTCTTATGCATCTATAGCATGGTGGCAAATGGGCTCCCTTTACTTGATCTCAGATACGTACACTGCTACACAGTCACTTCAAGGTTGGCGGACAGAGCAGGTGTAGATATCTTTGGACCTAGCACCAAACGTGCAATTCTCATGGGCAAATGGCCCACGGTGTTTCAGGCTTAAATAGTCGCAATCTTAAACCGCGCAAAATTAAACCTTGAAAAGGGTTTAAAGGGCGCGTTTTTAGTTATCTTTTCAGATAGCCAAGCAGCCAACCGGGCCTTTTCAAACAGGACTATCAAATCCAAGCTGGTCAGATACCTCTTTGACACGCTACAAATTTTGGCAGGCAAAAACACGGTAACACTGTGCTGGGTAACCAGGCCATCGGTACCAGGGAATCGAAGGCAACGAGATTGCCGACGAGTTGGCACGAGAAGGATCGCTAACTGCCTTTTCGCGACTTGAACCACTCTGTGGTCTCAGTTGGTTCTCTTCGAGAGCCATAATTACTGTGGGTACACTCACTGGGGAGCGGTGTAAGCTATTCGGCCACCCTTTTAACAGAAACGACATTGTCCTAGCAAATAGAAATGAGATCAGACTACTTTCTGGGTATATGACCAATGAAACCACCTTGTTTTGTATATTCGTAAATTCTTTTTTCTACCACTCACAAAGGTAAAACCCTGATGGAAAATTAAAATAAATAAAATTGTACTTTGTGTATATATGTAAATATATATATATGTATATATAAATATAAACACACGCAAATTTAAGCGTATTTACTTAAAAAAAATACTAAAATGAAAAAAAATAAATACAGTTTAATGTAACACGCAGTTTGCTTTGAAGATTTCATCAGTTTGTTCACATCGCGAACGATCTAGCGCGTATATTTCTAAAAGACTACAGGTACTTACTATGTGCAAAATCATGCCATTAATTAAGGCTAAATTCTTTTAAACAAAAATATCAAATAACAAAGAAAACAAGTTAATTCATTGCGCTCTAATTTTCACTACATTTCCCCCAAGTCATAATTCAGCGAAGTATTCGTATGTATGTATGTAAACGTGTTTTCTTTTTGTTGAAATCAATACTCCGCATCATAATCTCACATTGTTGCGTAGAGCTCATTAAGCAAATGAGCATTCGCTTAAGAAAAGATTTTAAGATATAAACAACTAAAAAAATGATGCGAGTACATAAATATATTTATCTGCTTCTCACTCACCATATCTTCATTGGCAGAATACTTGAGGGGGAAGACCATGCGCCAATTAAATGCAGCTTCTCCATTGAACGAACGGTAATGGACATCTGTTGCTTGCGATTGGTCTTTGTCAGCACACCAGCTTCAGATATGCATGGATGTATTTTAGTTGTTTTTTTTTACCAAAATCGACCATAGCACTATGGTCTAAATGCATGCTTTTTTGGACAAAACTAAATTTTTAGAAATCACTTTTTTCCTTGTTTCCATATTTTAGACATTAAAACATAGGAAAGGAAACTTTGTGTTTGTAAAAAACACCAGTAAGCCACCAGCAAGAAAATTATTCTTATTTTTGTTCAATTTAAAATTCGATTGAGCGTGAGACATATAGGGCAATTCTTTCACCTCAGCATCTGGCAACTATCTTGAAAGCTCTTTACTGTATTTCGAACGACTAATTGAAAGATTTGCAAACGAGAGGGTCTTGGCGCATTTTAGCAATAAGTTTTATTTGAATTGAGTTAAATAAAAAAATATATACATATACATTATAACAATTAAAAATAATAAACAAAAGAAAATTAGATAAAAAAATAAATAAAATAAAAATAAATCATAAATATGTATATAAAAATATTTTTTCAAAATTAAATTTAAAAAAATACATAAATATTTTCCCTTTTCAAAACAATGAAATCTAAAAATTTAATTTGAAAAAGAAAAAAATTAAATCAAAACAGAAGAAAATAGTATGTCCTTAGAAATAAGAAAAAATTAAAAGAAAATGAAACTAAAAAAGGAAAAGCAAATTAAATTAAAAAAGATAAAATAAATAAAATAAATTTCTGAAAACTAAATGAAATTAAAAAATATTTTTCTTCTTTTTCTAACAATACAATTTGAAAGTTTAAAAAAAACTAAAGATAAAAGAAAAAAGTTGTGTTTAAAAAAGGAAAAAGAAATTAAACAAGTTCCTAAAAAATTTAACGATTAAAAAATCTTCTTTTCAAAGAATAACATCTAAAACGTAAACCAAAATGAAATTAAAGGAAAAAAATTCGATTGAAAAATACTAAAAAGGGCTTTTTAAAAATAGCCACTGTATAAATGCGCTTTAAAACTAAGTGGAATTAAAATTTAAAAAGTGACTCCTTTAGAACCCTCGGCCGTCAAGGGTTAAAATATATGTGTTTTTTTTATTAAATGTTTAGCCATAACTAGTTTTACCCAGAAAAATAGGCATTTAGACCATAGTGCATAGGTGTTAATTAACAAATTTAATTTGTATGCATACTTAAAAAAAACTTAATGAGCACCTAAATGCGTTTGCGATTTTGTTTAGCTGCTATCGAATTCAAACTTACCCTTTTACGCCGACATCACTCATTTTTTTACCAAAAATATTCCGATCGTCCAACGTTAAATCAGCACAGCCATAGACTACAACGCGCAATTCGTACGCTTGCGGCGGGTGTGGGGTGATATCGATAGGCGCTGGTATATTTAAGTTGCCCTCATACAGCTCAACCCATAGCTGTATTTTGCCCTGAAATGAAAATATGTACATATGTATGTACATATATTAGCATTGTTAGTAGATAAGAATACGTAATGGGGTAAAAGTTCACTTATGTATGTACCTGTTCTATGCCTGGACCATCGCGACGGTACAAGGTCCGAGTTTCGACATGCTCTGGCACTAACTTGTAGCCAAAGGACGGCAGCTGATCCAAATGGTGTAGCGCTGTTAGACTTAGACGCTCCTGTAATTCTTCGGCTATTGGGAGAACATGCATTAATTAAAAGCCTGCACAAGTATTTGCCATTGAACCACGAAAAATAAACAAATACATACATATATAACATATGTATGTACTACAATCTGCCTGTACTTATGTATGTAGATTATAAAATGATTTTAAATTATTATTGCAAAAAAAAAAACGAACCTATCGCAATGCGCGTTTCATCCTTAAACTTCAAACCGTCCACTTCAATACTTTTTTCGAGGAATTTTGGCAGTGGTAAATCGCGTTGCGAACAAAGTTCGGTCAGAATCTCGAAAGGCGTGGCAATATTGCGCCATTTATTGTAACCACTTCTGTAAAAGCAAATTTCCATTTAGAAGGTCAATATTACAAACAAGGGCAAAATGAATAAAAATTTTTACGATTTCGTACTTTGAATATTCTTTGGCAATCCCAACAACAGCGCGATGTCTGGTACGCCAGCGATCTTCCAAATCGATAAATGTGGAACCGATATAATCATCGGCAAACACGTTTCGATCGAAAACTGAGACTTCTAACATGTTATCCCTGTAAAATATTAAATAGATAATAATAGAATTATAATTTAAGAATTTTTAAAGACGCTTTATTGCAGTTTGAAGTAAATAGTAAAAATTTATTTATTGATATAAAGATTTCGTTTACGACTTGTTTTAATTTACCTTTTAAACTAACTTCAAGTAGGGTGTACCAGACCACCCGTCCGACTCATTTTTAGGTTTCCAATAAATAAAAAAATTCGTCCATTTTTGAAGTCCAGGAAGAGTTGAAGTTAAAATATCATTTAGAGGTTGAAAAAGGCACTTCCGCGAAAAAATATTCAAACAAAAGTTAAGTATATTTATCGGCAGCATCCAAATCTCTGTGGTCTGAACATGCATGTCCTATTTAAAGCAAAGGAGTTCTGATCAGTTTAACCCATTTCCGGTCAAAACCGGAAGTCGGAAAAACGGCCAAAAGAAAGAGAATCCGCGACTTTTCGCCTTTTCCAATAACAAAATATTATCCTTCATTTTACAAGGGTTGGACGGGTGGTCTAGGATAACATGTATACAGCTGTATTTAAATTTAATATATTTTTTTTGGTTTGTAAGCAAATGTTTTTTTAGGACAACCATATTCTTTTTGTTATAAAATATTATTTTGTGGTAGTAATATTTTCCATCCCAGGAACCATACGAAGCTGACCTTGAAGACGGTGCTAATATAATTTAGAACTGACAGGCATTCTTTTGCAACCCTTGATCCTAACATTACCGCATTTATTCATTTGATACCCTGTCTATCCGAGAATGCATAAATCATAGTCATCGTTAGGGCAATGTGTAAACAACAATCACACTGTCAAGTTGAAATAGCGACGAATCAGCCGCACTTGGATAACCGAAATATATGGGAAAAAATTAAAATCCTGTGTGTTAATTAAAAATTATCTAAAACCATTTGACCTCGAGCAGGCCCAATAAAGAAATAAAAAGGTCGCCAAAACCATCATAATTTTTTTAAATGTTGTATTTAGCTTGAATTCTTGATTTTTATGGGTTTGGTTAAAGCGCAAAAAATATAATTTTACCAAAAAAAATACCAAAAATTTTTACTTGAAAAACATTGTGAATATAAAAATAAAAAAATCACCAAGCATTTTTTGAGTCACTGAATTTGTCTATAATAACTCCAGTTGAAGTTTTTTCACTTTTGGTTGAAGGTATAATTAGTTGAATTAAAAGTTCCTTAAACACAATTTAAATTTTTATTGAAATAACTCAAAAATAACAAAACTCTAGTTTTTATTGAAATAACCAAAAAACGTTATTGGTAGATATTTTCCAGATTTAGTAGACTTTTCTCAAGTGGATGGTAAGTACTCTATTTCGTCAGTGGCAGCCCTGCATAAATATGTAGAAGTTTAAGGCCCAATTAGTGGTGCCTTGCCATAGCCATAAACATAACAATTATCTCTTCTGTATGGTCAGCTCTGTGAGCGATTATTGGTGTCATACCATAACACCTTAGCTATAACCGTAGGCATTTAATTTTCGTATGTGAAAACGGCTGTTCTACTGATTAATTTTTCGATTACCATACATTAAATTTTCCTAATGGAAATCAATCAATTTCTGCTGTAAACATTTTAACAAGAAAATGCTCGAAATGAAGATTAATCATGGCGACTAGTAGACCTCGTCTTTATCCCAGAAGTTGGTAGAGACGACCATACTAGTACGAAATGCTTCAGGCTCACTAGCATGATGTCCTTCATGCTGAAATGTCATGAGAAATGTGTTAAGTTGCTCGCATAAAGATGCCTTTCAGGCGGAGAAATATTGTGAGACGAAAGCCTTAACGGCGTTCTTTAATGGAATTCTAGAAATCACCATGCTAAATTTCTACTGCCAAAAATCTCTAAGGACCGGTTGTTCAATGTCTGGTTATCATTACCTCCCAGTTAAACATCATTATCGACATTTTCGACACCATGCATATAACCTGAGACCGCTAAAGCAGTCGTTGTATTTAACCAGAGCTTCTACCTCCGATTTGTCTTAACCAGACATTGAACAACTGACCCAAAATGAATAACATATGGACCTAAAAATATGCAACGCGTAAGCGGAAGGAGTCCAATATAAAACCGTAAGCAATAGCGATATGTTATATTTCCCTAAAGACGTTGTATATTTTAAGGCACAAGCATGACCCATTTAGAGATTTTAAGCGACAGAAATTTAGCGTGGCGGTTTCTAAAATCCCACTGCTGGCAATTAAAACAGACCTTTGGTAAAACGCAGGGTCTGTCAACTAGAGGAATCCTGTGGATCCTACTCATCTGTTGTGTGGTGGAGCAGACTCTCAATCAATAGTAACGGAAATATGCTTGCCCCTACTTCAAAGAACGTGTGTGTCCAAAATCAATCGATTATTCGTGTGGACGTTTTCGGGCGACATTTTTGAAATTAGCAGATTTTTTTTCAAAAAATTTTGGCGAATCTAAATAGTAAAAAAAATATTTCCTTTCACCACCATGAGGAGATATTTCCCACATTCCGTTAGTATCAAAAAGTTATTTTGACCGAAAAGAGGAGTTAAGAGGGCGGCGACGATTTGACAAAGCTATGGTTAACAAATATCTACGTTTACTGCTACAATCACAAAATAGGCTGTCTTTCTTTGATTGTGAATTGAAAACACATTAGGGGTATTCTTTGCTGATAAAGAAATTGAAATTTAACAAATCAAAAAGTTGAAATAAGTAGCATTGAAGTAGATATGTATAGGATTAGACCACTGAATGTGTCACACTTCTGATTATTTCCGAAATAGCAGTTAGTTACAATTTCTACCAGAATCGAATATAAATTTTTTGTATACTTAAGTAACGAACACCCGCACCCGCATACAATCTTTATGACGAACACTTCACTCAAATCACTAAGCGCGTAGTGCGAGTATGTATACTTAAACGCAATAAATTCGAAGAAACGATAAGGTGGATTATCTACCTTTGATCACACTACATAAAATTAATCGCTATGAATTGCATAAAATAAAATTACTGTTCCATTGAACTTCGTAGTTAGACTCACTTCACTTGCAGCGGCGAATGTGTTAAAATGTGTTGTAGTTGTTGTGGTGTAATTCAGCAGAAGGTGTGGCTTTCGCTTGTAGCCATAGCATTTCTTGCCCTAGGGCTGGTTTTTGTAATTTGGTGGCCAAATTACATTACTGATATGATTTACGATGTAAGTGTCAAAATAAACTTTTAGCTCAGTATTAATACTACAAATTTTATAGGAGCTGCCGCTCTCGCAATGCTCGCGCACCTACGATAAGTGGAGTACAATACCTATACCGATCTACATGTACATGTATCTCTTTAATTGGACAAATCCAGATCAGGTGCGCACAAGTGGTGTGAAGCCGAACTTCGAGCAAGTGGGACCGTTCGTTTTTAGAGAAGAAAAAATCAAAGAGGATGTAACTTGGTACGCAAATAAGACCGTTTCCTTCTTTGGCCAACGGACGTGGTACTTTGAAAGCGAGATGTCGGGTGCATCACTAGATGACCCAATCACTTGCCCGCATCTGCCCTCATTGGTAGCGTTGAAATGTGTGTATTAATTATTATTTGGTTTCATAAGAATTTTTGCATACCCACAGGCCGCTTCATATGTCGTTCGCGATGAGCCAAAAATCATCAAAATTGGGTTCAATATTGCGCTCAACAATAACGGTGGCGCACTGTACCAGACTCATAGTGCAGGTGAATGGCTCTTTGATGGTTTCTACGATGAGTTTCTGGATTACGCAATTAAACTGAATAACTCTATGACGGGCGCTGTTGAATCGAATGAGTTTGCATGGTTTCTCAATCGCAACGGTTCTAAGGAGTTTGAAGGTCTATTTACTATACACACCGGTCAAGGAGATTTACGACAAATGGGCGAGATTAAATTCTGGAAGGGATCGAATCATACTGGCTACTATGAGGGTGAATGTGGGCGTGCAAATGGCAGTACAGCTGACCTGTTCGTGCCTAATCGTGGTGCCGAAGAGTATATCACAATCTACATAACCGACACGTGTCGCATCATGAATTTGGTACCCAGTAGCGAGGTTGTGATCGAGGGTATTAAAGCCATTAAGTACGAGACGAAGCCGGATACGTTTGATAATGGGCAACTTAATCCAGATATGAAGTGTTATTGTCCAGCCGAAATGCAACCAGACAATTGTCCGGCAACAGGCGCCACTTATTTGGGTCCATGTGCGGATGGTGTTCCCATGTATTTGTCGCATCCACATTTCATGTATGCTGACGAGAGTTACGCCAGCACGATAACGGGCCTTAGTCCTGATTATGAAAAGCACAACTTCTTCATTGTAATGGAGCCAAAGCTGGGTGTACCGCTAGAGGTGAACGCAAATGTAATGGTCAGCCTGCACATACGAAATGACAGTGATATTACGTGAGTACCGAATTTAGAGAGTTCTGAAATTTATACTAAATATATATGTGCTTGCAGGATATTGCGCGATATAACCGATTTTTATGCGCCACTCTTCGTTACCTCCAGCAAGGCTGTGATCGATAAAAAACTTGCAAGGGAAGTAAAGGTATACTCTTTTTTTCTTCATAAGTAATAAAAAATATATTTTATTAACTAAATACAATTTTTCGCTGTTTTCAGCTTGCATTGAGTTTGCCCGATATTGGATTCTACATGGGAATCACATTTATTTCTATAGGCAGTATACTTGCAATCATCGGTATATATTTAACGGTCACCCATCGCTGGTATGGAGAACGGAAGTTATCTAAGGACTAGAAGTCTCTCAACAAGTATTTTTATGATAAAATCCGATAATTATGATATTGTTAAATGTAATATATATATGTATGTATGTATGTTGTAAGCTGCAGATACTTCCTATCCATACTTTCGGTTTTTCCTGAAATTGTATGTACTGTTAAGGGATGACGACCGCACGGATTTTTACACTACGTTGAGGAAAAAATTTACGTCAACTAAAAACATTTCTCTAAACCAGGATTTGGAAACTACATACATACATATATGGAATCGATGTAAATGTATACGTCTCTTTGAACTTGCTGTCATAGGAGTGAGAAGAGTTGCAGCAGCATTAACAAAAGTATACAAAGAATTTTGCGCACTCGGACAGCTTCAAGATAGTTTAAAGAAGAATTATAATAAGCGGAAAACAATTTGCTAAACCGCCGCTGGTTTGCTCAAGTTGTTGTTTTTTTTTGGAAATGCGACTTATTATTAGTATATGTATGTATATTAGGGTGGTCCTTAAATATATGAAGCAAATTTTTACATCTCATTTCCTAAACCTCAAACCCTACGTCGAAAGTATCGCATGTAAATTTTCGTCCTGATTGGAGACGGTTAAGGCTTGTCGCACAGAGGTTATTTATTTATTTAAGAAAGCTTATATAATATTAATAATCATTATATAACCTATGAAAATGCAGCGCTACCACGCACAGAGGTTAAAGTTCTGAATACGCTATGAAAACGTCTTAACCGACTGCAATCGGGACCAAGATGTATATGCGTTATCTTCGATTCTGGTAGTATCGACGAAAAAAATATTTTTAATTTTTGAGTCCATAGAGGCATGTGGCATTTGGCACCTACGTATGAGACACGGCTTAACTTTCTCCAATGGGGACCAAATTTTATATATTATATCTGTGACCGTGGTATTACAGATTGAGGGTGTCTTAAAAATCCGCTCCTTTAATTTTTAAGGACTACCCTAATACAAATTTCTACTGGTACTTAAAAATCGATGCACAACCACTAAAATATCTACTAACGAACACATAAAAAATGTAGAGTAAAAATTTATTTAGAATTAAAAAAAATAAAATTTTTTGGATTTACAAGAACGAATAGGTAATTTTTTAAGCTGATAAATCAGAAGGACGAGGATGTTGTCGAGTTTATATAAGTCCATAACATATAATTTTTCAAAAGTAAATATTGCGAAATTTCAAGGATAAAATGTTAAAAAGACATTTTCAATACTTACTAGTCCTTATGTACCAAAAAATTTTGTCTTATTAAATTCTGCAGAATTTCCTCTTTAATTTGATACCCATACTTCTTCTCTAAACACATTTCACTGAATTTTTTAAATTATTTTTGAATTACTGACGTCAGCAATTTTACTATATTTGGCCCATGATTTCGCGAATATTTTATTAAATAAAAAAGAAATATAGCCAATACAGGGCAAGAAAATGAAGTTTCTATTATTGCCATCAGTGTCAACTACAAATCCCGAAAATCCCGGGATTTTTGGGACCTAACAGGGATTGACATTCCTACTTAGCATACACACTTGCTATACATTGTTCTTAAAATGAGCATTTCAAAATTTGTCTCGCCATTGCTTTGCGCATTGGGATGCCAGTTTAAAAAAAAAAAACATCGATGTATTTCTTTCATGCAATGCATACAAGATGTATGTAAATATGTACATCGATTACATCGTACAAAAATTCTATGCAAATATTTTTCGATATTATATCACAACAAAATATTTTATTGGCAAAATTGTACAAAATCTTAAATTAATTGCTACACTCAGAAAAAAGTCAGCCAAATATATTCCTCTCAACACATGATTTGGTAACTATAAACAAATAATGTAACTATAACCAAATCATGTGTTGATAAAAACATATTTAGTTGACGTAACTAAACTCTTTTCTCAGTGTATAACTGAGCTAATTAGGTTTCTAACGGACTGTAGAGTTTGGTCAAAAGTTTTTTCGTAAAACCATAGCAGTCATAGATATTTGGTTAAAAAACCCCATTGATTGCAGGTATGTTGTCCATTTCATTCGATATTATATTTTCTCAATATATATAACTTTAAACTAAATTTAATTTCACTAGTATCGACCAGTTGTTGAAATTCGACATCTTTTTAACTGACTTCGAAAAAGGAGGAAGGTTATCAATTCATCAGAATAATATTTTTGATGTACGTTACCGGACCACGTGAACCGTTTTCGATTACATTTTTTCCATCGGAAACGTGGTACCTGAATGGCGAGTGAAGATTTTGAAGGACATCAGCATACGAAAAAATATAGATCGAAAAAAAACGGAATCCTATTCCTTACTGCGCTACAAATATACATATGAGCTGCAAAAAAAGCTTAAATAACTTTGGCTTAAATTGTATGCCAACAAATACTGGAACAAAAATTTGCAAACATTTTAGAAAATCTTGTTTCTCAATTCGAATTTCAGGATTGTTTATCATTTGAAACTAAATATTTTCTCAAGCACAAATTTAAGAATGGGTTGAGAAATATTTGAGAAAAAATTTGTTAGCAATCGATTCCTTTCTATCTGTCTATCTATCGCAATTCGTCTGTCGGAAAATGGATCCTCGTTCGAATGAATTTAATTGCATTTAATTGAGTGATTTTAGTAAAAACTCGTGGATAAAATCATTTTGTGATTGATCTGTTTGTGACTGATCCACCAAAATGGTCTACTGACTGCCCATTAATATTTAAAAACGAAAGAAATAAATAGTCTGCTGCATCAGTAGTTCCCTACAGTTTGTCTGGTTAAACTGAAATAATATTTTTATGTTAAAAAAAATGTGTATGTTATATAAAGAGATTATTAATTATGATAAGAGAGCTTATGCTCTATTAAAATTGCCATAATTCCAGATAAAGCAATTATTTAATATTTTTTAAGGAAAAAATCGCAATGAATCCCAAAATCTGAGAAAGAAATTGAAATTTTCCTCACTAAATTCACTTTTTTAAAAACACTTTAATTATACTAAGAAACTGAATTTTATCTTTTTACATACTTCTTAAGCTATTAAATAAACCGTTAATAAATAAAAATTATTTTCCTATAAAGACTGTATTTCTTTTACATGCATCATTGGCAACACTATACAAATATTTCGATGAGAGTAACGGGATTCCATTTCGTTCCGCTTCACTCACGACTGAAAAAAGTTGAGAATTCAATAGTGACTTTTAGTTTGAGAACGCTATCAACGGTTATTTAAGATGCATTTGAGAATTAACGTTTGAGATTTTAGAAAAGGACTGATTTTTAAATGCGTCTCAAATTAAAATTGTAACAAAAATATTTATTGGTATCTGTTGGTTAATGTTAATTCCAAGTACAGTGCAATCCGGTTATAATGGACTCCACGGGACCGCGGCAAATTGTCCATTTTAACCGAGTGTCCATTTTATTAGAAAATAATATTTTTAAATAACAAAAAAATAATGTACATATACATATATGTAAATACAAAATTGTATAATTTTAACGTTTTTCCGTTCCGCGATTTTTCTTAAAGTGAACAACACGTAGATTAAAAAGGCAGAGGCTGATTGCCTATTTTTACAGATTTCGGAGAAGCAATGCACTTTTTCTATGTTTTATAGACATTTTCTGTTCCAGAGACGGTTGCCTCTCTTTAATCAATTCGGGGAACTACCGAACTTTGTTTATTGCAGATTTTTTTTTTTAATTTGGCCTTGACAGCCCCGGTTATAATGGACAAAAACCGATAATTGTATCTTTTATAGGCGGAGCCTGTTATAAACGAGTCTATTTTAAGCGAGTTTTTTTCATATGTTTAAACTGGGACTTGAGAAATAGGTACATAATAACAGACTTTCCCTCTTAAGCGAGTTCATTATAAATTGATTACACTGTACTAAGTCACCTCCAAAATTCTTCAGTAGCTTTCGAAATATTCATTTCTTAATAAATATATTTTTTTCGCCATAATTAAAATTTTTATGTAGCTTTTTTTTTGCTTTATTTTGTTGCCCATTTAGCTTTTTGTCTCGAAAAGTTCTGGCAACACTGATTTTCTTTTTTATATTTATGAGGTTTTTGGGAATTTTAGAAGCCTGCTGCAATGGTGCACCTGTGACACCAATTCTATAACGTAAAAAGTGCAGTCCTGCCTAAAGCGAAATTTATTTTCATGTCTTGTGAAACAAGGAAATTAGAAAGGTAAGGGAGCTAAATCTATCATTTTCCTATTTCGCATAGTGCACTCATAAATACCTTGGCAGAACTCCCTCCATTTGAAAGCACTTCCCAAAGATTGGATTACTCTCATTGGGCACATAATGCGCACGATTCGCTATAGTCTTGCCACCTAAATGCAACTTGACGTAAGCATCCGATTTGGTGCTCTTATCATGTGGGCGCAATTGTACGCCTTGCACCACATAGACGCGCACAATAATCTTGGTTAGATCGGTGAGTGTGTGCAATTCGGCCTGGTAACGCGGATTCAGCGCCGCTGCTAGTGGGCGTAACATTATGCCATCTCCGCCATCATTGGTGCCGCACTTGCAGGGTACCAACTTAATGTTCAATTTCAGTGTCGCATACGTTTCTTCTTTTGGCATTGAATTCTTTTTATACCTTACACCATGCACCAATTTGACGGGTTCGGCCCAATCGTGCAAATAGCTGAAATCAGCCTGACGCTCCAACTCGTTGTGATAGATGACCAGACTGTGCTTGTATAAATGCGAATGGTCACCAGTTTCCTGGATGGTGATTTCGTTTGTAAATTGCGTGAATCTATGTATATGCACAACTTTGTTACAATTACCTGATAAGTATAAATCGAATTGTAATATTTCGTCCACCAACTGTAATGCGTTTCATCGATGACCTGCTCCAAATCGAGTTTTTCGATTGGCGGTTGTTTTGTAGGATCTTTTGATTTTCTGAAGGCACTCAATGTACGCTGGAATATAGTTTGTTTGTTTCTGTTCAGTAGCGGCTCAGTTTCATTGTCCTCCATCTGGGCTATCTGTAGCATCGTGGGTGCTTCATCACCCGGCATTGCCGGTATACATTTCACTGACTTGTCTACTTGAAGAAAACGTTTCGAGTCGGCTATCAAAACGGCACCCAATGTCGTTTCGGCACCCTTTGCTGAAACAGATACATCTGTCGCAATAATTGCAGGCCAATATTCCAGCTGTTCAGGCAGGCTCTGAAAGAGATATGGGTTATTTAAGTGTACATCAGTTTTCATATTTGTTGCAGAGTATGTGTGAGAGTGCATACGCAGCAAAGCTCATCTGGTGTCTTCTAGTTTGCAAGTTGTTGGCCCAGAAAGTTTTTAAATTTTCATTTAAGTCACAAGGCAGAGACTTGCCGCAACAATCCACAACCTCAATCAGCCACTTACCACAACTCCAGAAGCAAATATAACTAAAAAGTTAATGCTATTCTTCAAGCGTGTCGATGAAAGTCCACTCGTAAGCAGCAAATCACCCATCATAACTTTGATTCGATGTCTGCCACCAAAAGTTGTTTTTGTGTAATTTCGAAAACCAATGAAAACCACTTCTAACCTAAAAAAAAGAAAAAAAGAATATAAGCGCAAATCTCAGGAGTTATTTTTTAAGTGTCACTCCCTTCCCTCGTCAGAAAAAAAAACGCTAAAGCAATCTTCTTGCATTTATTTTATTCAATGGAGTTCCTGAAACAAGTACAATAAAGTGTAATTATCTCGTCTTTGAACAATTTAGCCTTAAAATGTTTATTTAGGCGAAAAAGTACAGAAATTAAAAATCATAATTTTTTTTTTCAAATAACTTTGGGAAGTTTTCAACTAGAATGTTCATATTAGAGGCAATGGACGTTGGCATCAAATACAACATATCTGTATAGTTTCAAGAGTGTGCCATCAAATTATAAAAAAAAAAATGGCAGCATGCAGAATATCTGTCCCAGCCCAGGCGAATTTATATAAGTTGGTGTTACTAGATCAGCTGATTTTGTGTATGTGTTTCGCCTCACGGCTTCTTGTGTCAAATTGAAAAATTTTGTTTGCATTTCCACACACACTCTTACAGATTTTGACAGTTTATGCCGCCAAAGCAAAAACAAAATACATGTAAATTTGTGTTTTTATACTCTTGCTATCACCTTCCTTATATTAATTCGCCTTGGTTGCACTAGTTTGTAATTTTCGGAAATTTTACGATTTTTTAATTTTAATAATTTTAGATACTTCAAAATGTTAAACTTAAATGGTGAAAATGTTCTTGTTGCCAAAACGAACGAATCTAGTCTAATAAAACTATTGTGCCACCAAATAAAAAAAAAATCATTGAGTGAAAGATGACTAGGATTTGAGAAATTAAAATTGCATTTTTTTTAATTTTTACTGGCACACTTGAAATTTATTCTAGAATTGTTATATAGGCGAAGAAAGTAATTTATATTTGCATAAGAAATACTGTGTAAAAATCTTCCAAGCCAATATTTAATTACTTATATGACTTCAAACTTAAGGCATGCGAATAAACGTGTAAGCTGACTATGTATAGTGCTACGGGGGGCGTATACGTTACATACACAACTACGGGTATATGAGCACGAGTTGTTATTTTGACTTTTTTTAGTATATATTTTTTAAGTTTTCATTTAAATAAAATTTCGCATTGGAATCTTGTTCTTTATGCAAAAATGAAGATAATGCATTGTCTTATATAAGTGTGCCACAATTTTAGACGAAAAACACGTTTTTGTCGAAAATTTGACAACTAGTGAGATTTTCTTATAAGTTCAATCTCTTAAGCACACCCTCTTCTCCTACTCACACAAAGTTCTTCATAATCGGTCTTATGCCCGACGGTATACCCGTTGTGATGGTCGGTTCCACCATTTCTAGTTTCCCCATTTCTTCTTGCGTCTCTACTAGCTCCGCAGACATCAATACTTCAGCTCGTACACTGCCATTCTGAGCGATCGGCACCCAAGCTAGCGGTGGCGGTGATAGAATTTTCAGTTTATGAAATTTCTGCATAGCGTTTCTGGTCTTCACCATTTTATTAAGCTTAAATCTATTTTCAGGCTCCTCGCGTGCGCTGTCATCTGCCTCTTTCATACCTATCACTGAGACTGGCACACTACCACATCCAACATAGTCATTGGCCGTTAGACGATCGCGATCGTACAGTTCAACAGCTACAAGTGGCGGATTTTTCAAGTACCATTGCATGCTGCCTGGCACCACAACGACGTCAAAGCAGATCACACAGTTCCATATTGGTGAGAGTGTCGCCTCTACCGTAGATGTTTGTGCCCATTGCGAGCCAAAGATGACACGTAGATAGCCATCAGAAAGCCCACTGCTATCGCTGCCTGGTCGAATTTTCGCTTGATGTATAAAGATGCGACATTTGTAGACGGTGTAGGCAACAATGGGTGACCAATAATAGAGCTCAGTTTGTTTCCAATCGTTGGTTATGGTAGCCAAATATTCGGTACGTTCACTATCAACCACAATGCCAAGTGAACCTTGTATAATGCCCATATTGCAGCCACAGTTGATGCAGCTGTGCTGACATTGAATATCCTGCAAGCAAAAGGAGGTAAAGAGAGTTAAGGCTATATACGAAAGCATTACAACCGCGCCGTGGTATACCTTGAATATAAAATTACGCATGCGCCAACATAAACTATTCGGGCTGGGCGGTATGTCTTTTGGCGTATTTAAAAAGTACTTGGCATTTAGCCGGCAAACTGCAATGTCCCGATTTCCCGATACGCTCAGCATGATCATAAGCGTGGGCCACTCGTCCTGCAAGCGTGTAGTGGCCAAAAGGCTCTTTAGTTCATTGGAATGTGAGACCATTTGATCTACCACGTCTGAGATGGTGGAATCGATTAGCATTGCGGGCGCTGATTTGAGCTTTTGACGCATAGCGCGTAGCTTCTCGGGAAACTTTTCCTGCATAAAGCATAAGAACAGTTTAGATGGTAAAAACTTACAGGTATGAACTTACGAAAAAGGCATTAACATAGACCAAACGATTTGTGTCCCACATGGTGGCGTCTTTGAACCCGGTATATTGAAGTCGCTTTTCATCGACACCCTCATTTAGTTTGTTTTGCAAATTCATTATAATGGCCTTGAAGCATTTGGCTTGGAGCAAAAATTGGTTGGTGTATTTAATTTGAAAGAGTTTGAAGGCTTTTAGCTCTGATTCCTGCAATGAAGACAGTTAGCAATGTGCACAAAATTTGATATCCGATCTATATTGAAACGATTTTCCAATAATGGTTTAATATCTAAATAAAATTTGACAGCTGATGAAGGAAATTCGTTCCAAAATAAACCCCAATCAGACTTTGTTGGAAGCATTAACAACCAAAACGAAAGCTCGGATACTTAACTATTAGATCCAAAATTTCTTGCATATAATAGTCGCTGTCGAATTTATATCGATTATCGGGCATTGTAATTTTTAAGTAAGCCGCTTTATAGGGCGCCTCTTGGCGAAAGTATTTCAAAGTAGTGCCAGAGCTGGTAGTCTTGCCGGGATAGCTTTTCAGATAGCATTCCACATAATTGGAAGTACTCTCTGATGAAAAATGAAAATACAATATTTAGATAAGTAAATGTGTACCAAATTGATTATTTTCCTTTATCTAAGCATAAAATTTACTCCGAGTTGAGCTTAGATAAATATGGACCCAGGAGACGTGCGCTTATGAGCGGAGCAAAGGCTGTGGTTGTTAATGGATCAAATAGGTTAAAAATTGATTGGTATCTTGCATGACATACGTCGGATAAGTCAGGCACCGAGCCTAAACGTGTACATAGGAAGCGACTTGAAGCACTTGAGTCCACGCTTCGTCAACAGTTTGGGCGAGGTAGCAGAGGTGGAACTGTTAGATCTCCTTGGATTCATCAGGGACAGTAGTTGGTTTAGTAGAATAATGACTTAAAGCTACTCTGTCACTGACACTCACCTAAAGACGGCACTCACAATGGACAGTTCTAACTTCGAGTGAAAGTGTGGAATATTCCACGCACGCCCTCCTAACCTAACTTAAACAGTTCCTTCACAGGCACGATGATTATAAAGATCTCCATATACTTAGTTGAACTAAGCTAATGATATTATAGAATAAATGATGGTTAGCTCCATATTTCACTTGGATCTATTTGGAAATATTTCGAGGTTTTCTTCTTCTAGAGTTCAAGATTAAGCCTCGAAAGTGGCTATCCAGAAACCAACACGTAGTCCTACCTGCTGAAATTTGGAAAAGGGTAGCTGATAAGCTTCATATTCTCAGATTTTCCCCTACCTGAAACTGTATTCGAGACCCACACATGTTTTCCACCCATGGGTGCCAAATCGCAGGATATTTTCTTAAAAACGTTACCATACAAACGCATCCCAGCGCATATCGAATCTTTAATTTTCATGCGTTTGGTAGTTTAAGGGTCATAGAGCTCGTAAAGTTCGTTATTTTATATATTTTGTTGCGCATCTCACACACAAACTGGGTCATATATCATCTGGGCATATACATCTGGAATAGTTTTCTCGAAAGTTTTTCGTCTTCACCCGACAACGTCCACTTATTTTTGCCATATTAAATAACGGACTTGAAGAGCGACTTGCTGTTCATAACCTAACGCAGTGGTAGGCAGGCCATTGCTCACTGAGCGCTCTCTGGGCACATGTGTGTTTCACACGTATACGAAGAGCGGAAGCTGAGCAGTGCATTTAACGTACATAGTCCCACTTATCGAATCGTTTGAATGTGTTAGAATGCCGACTACTGACCTAACGTACAGCGTAATAATGGCCCTCAGGGAATACGAGAAAAGTCGTTCAGCATTTTTATAGACTCCCGCTCTTCAGCGTCAGCAAATATCTTAGGCAATGCAACGACAAGCTACGAACTATACAGCGCCGTGGATAGATTAGTCTGTAGTATAAAAAAGCCAGTGGCGCAGCACGCTAGGTCATAAGAAATATCCAGCACTACAAGTATTTTATGCGGAAATGGGGCGACCAAGTAAGAGGAACGCTGCTACCTCTGTGTTGGAAAGATAAAGTCTTGGACTTTGCCTCACTTGCGTGGTAATGGAACTCGTGAAAAATCACTGAAGAGTATTTAGGGTCGGTAAAGTAAAAGGGCCAATAAGGGCTTGTATTTTTGCATTCGGGTGAACTGCACTGCAAAGCACTGCATCAAAAGTGCCTCGCAAATAGGAAAGTAAGAAAGGATGCTTGCGAACTTTCTGCTAAAACATACTACTATTTGTTTGGGTGAGTATTCCTTATCGTAGATCTTAATGTGTTTGAAATACCAGCTACTCGGAAACCCTATCTTCATCCAAAACGGTAACAAATCTTATGCTTAATTTCGTCAATTACCTGCGAGTCTCATAGAAATCTTGCAGTTACTAAAATTGCCATGCACAAAATCGCCTTGTAGTGGTAGAAATTCCACTAGAAATGTCTCCTCCTGCCACCAACGTTTCTCATCCAGTGGTGCGACGGGCCTTGTTAAGAGATCGCGTGCCGGACCGGTCGGTAGACACTCTGAAACCACCTCCACCAAAAGTCGGCCGAGGTATTGCAGTGGATTGGCTATATCGTAGAAATGCACATATGTAGGACCCAGTGCCGGCTTATCTACAGAAAAATAAAGTGAGTGTATTCCACCAAATAAAAGCAAAAAATTTCTTATCTTAGCCAGAAACCTTTGAATGCGATCTCATCGAAATGTATTTCATAGTCAGCGATAGCTTTCCACTGCAGATGTTCATGGGACAAAATCTGTACGACAAAGGTCTGCGATAGCGATGGGAAAGTCCATGAGAAGCACACTGCGAAATTCCACTCCGGTTGGGCAGTGCCCTTGCATACATTTGTCTTGCCCTTGAAAGGATGGAATCTAAACTTTAGAAATGAAAGGCCGTTGGTGAATGGGACGGTGTCACAAGTACATGGTTGCCAGCAAAGGATACTTGTATGAGATAGTCACTCTTCTTGGTCAGCACTGCCTTATAGAGCGTGACAGTATAGCGTATATTGCACTGCATGGCGTTGTCTGAATTTTGCAGCATATTTCTGGGAAAAAAACAACTTTCTCAATTTAACACTCATTTCAGATACAACGAAGCCTCGCACAAACCCTTCGATGTTATCATAGTCCTGATTTAATTGCCACTTGTTCAGCTCCAACATCTCGTCTTCTTGTGGCCTCAGTACAGTATTGGGATCCGAGTTTTGTGAAACTATAGCCAAATCGATCTGCAAATAACCTTTGTAAGCACCGGGCGTAGTGTTTGACATGTCGGCAATGGAGGCCTCGAGGCGACCCCATTTTTTGAAATAACAACGATTTGGTTGATTCCAAACACTTTGCAGATCAATAAGCAGCTCACCGTGGGACATGGTCTTCTTGCACGCATTCCGCTTTCGCACCTCATACAAGACCGTCAAGCGCAATAGTTCGGTTAGCGTGCAGCGTAACTCAAATACAAAATACTAAAAAGAAAAATCTGTCATTTACAATTTGCAATAGGTTAAATATCATTGGAATATATGGCACCTCATTGTAGTATGGATTTTCGGAGCGCGCGTACGGTTTCGTCGTCCTGTGCGCTTTGTCCAAAGTAACGCGCACGAATGTCTCACCGGTGAAGACGCCCAGCTGACGCGCTTTATGTATCGTCGTGCAGATCAGATAATCCTGGCTCATGCTTAGAAAGCAATCGTTTTGAGCTATCGGTAACATTTGCGTGCCGATTTCGCTTTCACAAACGGTTTCCGTCGATATTTTTTGATATATTTTTAAGTTTGAATTAAAATTGAAAAAATAAATTTTACTTTTTCGAAAACGTTTGTCATTCAACTGACATTAAAAAATGTTGAATGTTCAAACGGTGTTGGAAACAGCGTATATACATACTTCATGTCCTTAAGTTTTAATAAAAGTAAATTCGGACTGGCAGTCACAGTTGCACAGCTTTTCTCATTTCCGACTCTTGCGTCTCCGTTCGCGCACTCTTCGCAACGTAATTAACCCGTGTGCGAGATGCGATAACCAATCCGAGTAGAGCCTGGGCTCACGGCAGAAAGAAAGGGAGCTTCAGTGGGGTCACTTCGACTTATGCGGTTTAAGGGCTCATGGCAAGCTGGCGTCTGTCGTGGAGCAAGGGGCTCGCTGTATAAATGTGTATTTAGTTAAGAAAGTTGCGGAGAATACGAACCCGCGCTCCCAGCCGATGAAGCCGGAGTCGATGTTTCGTAGCTGAAAAACACCAAATTTGCGGGAGCTGACGTCCTGCCAGCCGAGCTATTCAAGTACGGCGACGCGGATCTGATAAATTGCATACATCAACTCTTATGCAGGATACGGTCAGATGAACTCATGTCCGACGACTGGAATTTAAGTGTGATCTGCTTTATCCACAAGAAAGGCGTCCCGACCATTCGCGAGATCAGCCTTCTAAGCATAGGTTACAAGGTCTTATCGGGTGTATTGTGTGGAGCCCACCATCAACGAACTGATTGGGTCTTTGGGCGAAACATTGGAAAAAGACTCGCAAGAATAGCATCGACACACAGCATCTGCATATTTGTCGATTTCAAAGCTGCTTTCGACAGCACGAAAATAAGTTGACTTTATGTCGCGATGTCTGAATTTGGCATCCCCACGAAACTGATACGGCTATGTAAAATGACGTTGGGCAACACCACCAGCTTCATCAGAATTGGGAATGACCTCTCCGAGCCTTTCGTTTGATTTCTTTAATCTGCCAACAAGTGCTATTTTGGACTGAGTAGGCGATTCAGGAGTAAAGTCCTCTCTCGACGTACGAAAACCACACTCTATAAGTCACTCATCATGCCTGTGCTCGTATATGGCGCAGAAGCATGGAGACTGACAACTTAAGATGAGGGGCCTCTTGGAGTTTTCGAGAGAAAAAGATTTTGCTGAAGAATTACGGGCCTTTACGCATTGGTGATGACGTGTACCGCAGACGACGAAATGATGAGCTGTATGAGCTTTACACCGCATGGACATAGTGCAGTGAACTAAAATACAGCGGCCCCGCTGGCTTAACCATGCCGTTCGAATGGACACCGACACTCCAACTCTGAAAGTATTCAACTCGGAACCCGCTGGTGCTAGCAGAGAAAGAGGCAGGCCCCACTGCGTTGGAAAGACCAAGTGGAGAAGGGCTTGGCTGGTCTTGGCATTTCCAATTGGCGTCAGTTGGCACAAAGGAGAAGCAAGTGGCGTGCTCTGTTGAACTCGCCCAAAATCGCTTAGGCGGTCAAACTAGAAAAATAAGAATATGAATGTAGGAAATTAAGTGCAATCAAATAACGTCAACTTTTTTTCTAGATATTGGACCAAACAAATTTTTTTAAGGGATTGAGTCATAGTTAAAAAATTAATTTCTCTGTTTCTCGAAGTTAGCCTCCGAGATCGAGATATGGGACTTCGAAGTTCGAACCTATGCCCTTGGTAAAAAAAAATGCTAATTAGTAGATAATATAATTGAGAATTTGATTATTTAAATAAAACGGAAAATTTCCTTTAATTATTGAACTAAATAAACACTGGTATGTGACATTTTAGCAAGTTTTGGCTATTTTCCTTTAGCTTATTTAATGTTTATTTTCTTCTTAGTAATCAGTTTTGTAGCACATTAAATATTAGTACATAAAAGTACAAATTTCAAGTATTTAAAACTTGACCGTCAACGAAAAAAAAATTGCCAAAAATCAACGGTGAGTTCTAGATACTTCAAACTTGCATTTTATTATATTAAAATTTAATGGGCTACAAAAAAGCAGCAAAATTTTGTCCAAAGTTGCTGACAAGGAATTTAGAATTTTTAGTCGAACTTTGCAGAATTTTTATAAAAAAATAAACATTGAATAAACTGGGGAAAAATAGCCAGAACTTGCTAAGATGTCGCATACCAGGTTTTATCCAGTGCAGTCTGTTTTATTCAAATGAAGTAATGAATTGTATTACTAATTAGTAGGATTCAATCGATACAAGTAAATACTCGATACTTTTCTTGTTGTTTTTGTTCGGTATCGAGTAAGTATCGAAAAAAAGAACTTGGTATCGAAAGAATAATTTCTACTACTTTTATCATTGCTATTTTTCATAAATATTTTGTGAATAATATACTTATATGAAGTCATATACGTAATTATAACTAATATTGCTCCTCAAAAAAAAAGAGTGTTTAATAACCTTTACAACGATGCCAATTTTTTAAAAAACAATTCCAAATTGTTTCGAATATAAGGTTTTTAATTTTTCGAAGATCTGACCTTTGAGCCCTTATAGCACTTGCAATATAAGTTTGTACAAAAAAGGTGAACTACGTCTATATTTTTACTTTTTTTTTTGTTGTTCACACACAATAGTTACATATATTTTCTTATCCTAGGTCCAATTTCGAACCTCGGAGGCCCATATCACGGTTTCGGAGGCTAACTTCAGAAAACGGAGAAATTACTTATGACGTGTACTGTGAAATTAATTATGATGTGTACTGTACAGTGTAATTGCTGAATTTGCAAAATCGCACCTTAAAAACTATTATTTAAAAATTTCTAGGCAATAAAACACTATTTAGATAAGAATTTAATTTACTAAAACTGCCGGAAAAGCTAATTTTATATGATTCAGCAGGCGCGCGGCGCTGTTTCCTACTTACTCTGGTTATTCAAATCAAAAGTAACATTATTTTGTCATCTCAAAATTTTGCAACACCCTATTCCATTTGAATGCATGAACTTCATGAACATTTCTTCCTGCCACATAAGCTCGCGCTAGCCGCCGGAAGCTATTAGCCAGGTCAACAGGAAAGCTATGCAGTTCCTGTCTGCATGCAAGAACAAAAGCGTTTGAAAGCTATCTGGCTAACAAAAGCACAACTATCAACAAAATACAAGTATGAAAAGCTTAAATTTTTGGAGCTGAAACTTATACGGGCCTGTGGAATGTGCAGTTCGTTTCAGCGCACCGCTTTGGAGCTAAGTGGGTGGAACAAAGTGCAAATTGAAACACTTTGAAACGGGTTTTAGAGCGCCAATTGAGAGCTTCCAAAAGCCAGTAGTGAGAAAGATGGTAAGACGGAATTCATATTACATAAATATATGTACACACAAATGTGCACTTTGCGAGCGACCGAGGCAGAATAGTCACTCTCCACTTGCAAGTGCAATAACAAAGGGGAGCTCAACTCAACTCACTGTTCAAAACAAAAACAATGAAACAAGGTGACAACTATAATTGCCTGAAACTGTTAAATTGGCTGCATAGGCAGCTCAGATAAATAACAACAAAGCGGAATTGAAACATTTGCCAAACCACGAACAGCCTCAGCTCCAAAGATATGCGCGCACGATGCGTGCTTTTATGGACATATAGAGAAGGTGTGTGTGTATAAATATGTATGTGCATATAAAAAAGTGTGAAGTGGAATGGTGCTTCGGTGATTCGGTGGTTGGGAGCGCGCTACTAACTGGAGATGACTCCAAAACTATCATTCAAACGAAAAGAATTCAATTTGTTGTCGTCGCTTATTGGAGGCAGAAGTTGAAGCGCGGAAAACTCGCCATCGCAAAAGCTAATTTGTTTGTTATAGTTTTCGACGGAAAGGTTCGCTACTGGTGCTCACTTATTTGCTGCTTTCAATATTCATTTATTTGCATACATATGTACATATAGACACTTGGTCGGTAGCTTCAAGAGTTGTCTGCTAGTGGCTGCTGTGACTTGGGTTGCTGTGTGTGCTGGAGCCCAAAGGTGTAGAAAAGAAAACTGCTATGCGATTTATTAGTTTTATTTGACAAAACAAAGTGCAAAGCTAATATTTTAGAAAATTTGCAAAAAAATAAAATAAGCGAGAAAGCACAGTGAAAAATTGTGCATTTTGCGGAGTGATTAATGCTGCGAAAATCTTACTCGCCAGTGATTGCTATTTGTTTCAGTTTCCACTTGCTGCTGCAACGCAATAACGGAAATTACCACCTGCCCTAAAACGATTCGCTTCACTAGCGCGTGTCTGTCGATCATCTTTTGTTTGGGTTTGTTGTTGATGTGCGCGATTTTTTTCGTGAAAAGTTTAACCTCAAAAATCGCCAAAAGCTATGAAATCGATCTAAATGAAAACGCGTAGAATTCTTTGCAGTTAATGACACCAAGCAAGCAAAGAAGTGTGTTTTGTGATAAATACGAACAACACAAATAAAAAAATAACCAATAGCTAGCAAGTGTGGCAGTAGAAGTGAAAGCTAAGCAAATGATTTTAGCGTAAAAATGTTCTAGTAGCCAAAGAACTATTAAATAAATTGAATGATACAACATTTTGTGTAAAGCTTAAAATCGGCGGAATTATTGCGGCAGTGAAAGCAGCCGACAAGGAACACTGACAAAAATAATTAGCAATTTTTAAAAGCGCGTCCAAAAAGGTAAGTTTTGACAGGTGGAAAAAGAGATTATTAGTAAAAGTAATTATTAGTTATAATCATTTAACTTAAAGAAAATTTATTGTACATTTCAACTAATTTTTTTTTTTCGATTTTACATGATATGCATAGGAAAAGCCAATAAAAATTCTTTACTAACAAACATTCCCTAGTTTCTAGTCATTGTGAAAGATGCCAAACTTTTTTTTACTCTTGTAAAATTTAAGTATTTTTATATTGAAAAGGTATTATTCTTTTTAAATATATGAATCAATTTTTTGCTATTTAGTT